CCGGGAGCTGCCAGGGTCCCCTGCAGCGCCCGCCGCTCTGAGGAGCCGGTGTGGGTCTGGGCCCGGAGGCGCGGTAGGGCCCTGCGCGGGGGGGTGCGGGGCACAAGCGCCTGGTTTGTGCTGCGTGGCGTTGGGTCTGAAGTGCCGGGGCTAACGGGCACGACCCCCCGAGCCTCTCTGAGCCCGCCTGGCCTTTGCTGACTTGTTTTAAAGTAATAGCAATGGTATAATTAGCCGGGTAGGCTTTTTTACCTGGATTAGACGTTTTTGCTTGTTCTTTTTAAAGTTTATGTGGGATCACGTATCTTTTGTGCTCTGGCAGCTGGTATAAACACCTGATTAGGTCTTGTAACCAACTCGGCAGTAATGCGATCGTGTACTGTGTGTGTTTCGGGTCAGCCCGTGCTGCCAGATGGTTTGGAGCTGCTCACACCTATCAGCCTTTGAACCAACTCCGTAATTTGCGAGCACTGTTGTGGCATACGTTTCTGTTTCATAGTTTAATCTAACCATTAGATTTTAAAACTAAAACCGTGACACAGTAGTCCTGTCATGCTGTTGTCCCTACACTGTAACAGCTTCCTAGATCCATAACTGAGATTTACACCGAGAGAGGCAAATGAGTTGAAATTGTAACAGCCGGCTTGAGTTCAAATTAGTGATTCAGTGAAGAGCTGGGTACTCCCATAGAAGCGTCTAAATTAGTTTCAAACTAGCTAGGGCAGCAGTTGTTGCCAACAGGGCACCGTTAGAGACTCAGGCTGCAAAATCTTTTGGGAACCGAACGCCAAACTCCTGGCACTCAGGCTAGCAGGACTCCCTTGCTTATCACAGTACAGCTTCTCTTTTGATAACGACAAGTTTTTTCTGTTTGGGCTAAAAATAACAGAAAGTGGGTTTAAACTTGTATTAATTTGCTATTTTAATACCTACAAAAAGTTTTAAAAGTGAAGAAGTAGTAAGAGAGTGAGAGTGAATGGTGGATGGAGGTTGGTGGGGTGGGCTGCATGTGCTGGAATTGATGTAAAGAAATGTTCATCAGACTAGGGCTTTTGAAACCTGAAATCATATACTCAGCTTTATTGCACACTGTAGAAGAAAACTAAAAAGAAAAAAAAAAGTTTTGTTTTTGAAAACTAAAAGATTAGAAAGGCAGAAAGTACGGAGCAGATCCTGTGGCATTTTGTGGCAGAGGTGGAAAAGAAATTAGAGATTTCTAATGCTCACAGATCTTCTTTACATCAAGTTATGCTGCTGATAGGCAGTATATGAGTATCATGCTGCTACTGTACTGATTCCAAATGTACATGCTACCTAAATATACCAAAGTGCTGAAATAAACGATATTATTTTTAGTGCCGATACTGTTGTAATACAATCCTGTGTGGCAATGACGGAAGGGAAAGAAGGAGGTGGGGGGCTTGAGGTCTTGCCTTCTCTGCTGCTTCCCACTTCCCAAGCCTGGCTACTAGGCTTGTCGGGAGAAAGGGACTGCGGGTCCTGGGTTACAGGTGGGTGAACAAGGGAATTATTCTGGCGTGGTGACTGAAAATCAGGAATTGGAGGAAGAGATCGTCACAGTTGAAGTCCCTCTATGAATTGTACGTTCAGTTTCCTAGAGAATTCCTAGCCCTACTCTCTCCCACAGTGTGGTTGAGATAAGAGAGCATTAATGAGGGGAGAAAAAGACATTCCCATCTCCATCACACACCCCTCAAGCCTTGCTAACTTCTTAAAGCTTCTGTTGTGATGTTTGATGATGTTGTGGAATTTCTTTTGATGTCAGCATCTTAAAGGCGTTGACAGTTGCTGTCAATGGGCACACATACTCAGGGTTTTATGTTTCTTTAATTGCAGTTTGACAGCTTTTTCCATTGAGCAGAGGCATAATTTACCTAGCTTACCTGAATAAAAATTATGTATTATATAAAAAGCAGCAATTTTGTTTGACAAATTTTGAGATACCTTCAAAGAGTCTTTGTCTTTTCCTACATATAGTGGAAATGAGTGGATTTCTAAAAAGGAAATTGTTCTTGATGTTACAGTGTTCTCATGATGTGCTTATAGTAGTACTCTAAAACCAAAACAAAAATTTGACCAAGTAATCCCTCTAATTTCAGCATCATTAGGAGTATAGATATATTAATCAGTTTGGCAAGATGATTACAAATGTTCAGAAATTTCAAAAGTCGAAGAAATTAAGATAAATAATTCTTTTTTGCCTGTCCACCTAAATATGACAAATATCCTTCAACCACAAATTGTTCTTGCGCTCATGTTCATCTTTTTTTGTGAATTTACGATGCAGGCATTATCGGAAGCGCTCTGCGTCGCGTGGACGCTCTGGTAGCCGTTCTAGAAGTCGTTCTCCGTCTGACAAAAGAGGAAAACGTGGAGAAGACAGACGCTCTAGAAGTAGAGATCGAGAACGTAGACGTGAGAGGTCACGCAGCAGGGACAAGAGAAGGTCTCGCTCGCGTGACAGAAAGCGTCAAAGGTATGACTTCTCAATTCCAGTCAAAGTAGATAAAAGTGCCTGTCATCTGAATATTGATGTCCTTCCACAATGATTAGTTACTTCACTGTTGTTCATGATAGATTTTACTATGATTAACGTTTTTACTTATTAAATGGTTTCTAGCTGCTGGTGCTGGAGTTTATAAGCTCTTAGTGGTCTTGATGATTGTTGGATTCCTTTTACAACCTGTTCCTCAATAGCAGGCTAAAATTATGCTATGATGACATGCTAAATAAATACAATTTTGTTCTGTGGCAGACGTTCAAGAAGTAGAGAAAGGGAACGGAGCCGAGAGAGAAGAAGATCCCGAAGCCGAGAGAGGAGGCGCTCCAGAAGCAGAAGTCGAGGTAGACGGTCTCGATCCTCCAGTCCAAGCAAGAACAGGAAAACAGAAACCAGGTATTAGTATTCTCTAATTACAATCAATGTCATAGTGACAAAATACCATAAAACTATTGGTAGCATGGAGGGAATCGTCAGGCAAAGCTATGCAAAGCTTTGATTTGTAGAACAAGGAGAGTATTACGTGTGTGCTGTTATGATCTTTTCCCATTGCTTAATGTGTCTAACGCAGTTTGTTGTGAGAATGTTTCTGTAAAAGAAAAAGATCCATGTTGTGGCAGCTAAAAAAAGCAGTTAACTAAAGTTATGACTGAATTTCATTCTGAAAGTTTTGTAGTTCTTCATTGTTATCTCAGATTCCAGTATTGATAAGTAATGTTTTGTGTCTCAGCATGAATGCCCAAATCAGTAAAGTACAGGTGTTCTCTAGCACAGGCATTACGTTGAAGTGTAACTTTCTTTAAACTTGTAAACTACTGGAGAATAGTAAGTTTTAGCTACAAGATTTGCTGCACTGCAGTGTTCTCAGTGATGCGGTGTATCATATGCTTTCTTAGATAAAGCACTTTATTTCTTAGGAAACATACAGGGCTTTTGAAAAATGCAGGTGGGGTAGCAGCAAGGAATCTATAAACAGCATCATGGTCACATCTGTAACTGGAATTTCTAAACTGTTATAAGTGCCACTGTTTGTGCCTGAGCTCAATGTTTCAATCCATTCTTTACAGAAGGGTGTTCTAAAGAATGTAAGCCAATAAAGTTTGGAATCTACTTTTTAAAATTGTATTTGTGCAGAAAAATAAAGTGCATAGTGTAACACTTCAGAGAAGGTCAAGAAACCTGCTTTGGTAGAGCCATGGCCTGTTTATCTGCTGTTTGTTGAATTCTGTGGGTGTGCTTAGTGCTGCACTCAATGGGTTTGACAAGTACTAGTCTTAGGGGTTTACAGTCGAATAAACTGTGTAGTAAATAGACTTAGTAAAGAGGTGAAGCTTGATGACTTTAGAAATGTGTAAAAACTTACTACAGGTCATGTTCTTTTAAATATATTTTAATGGAATTTTCAGATATAATTACAAACAGCATATAATCACACTATACTGTAAAATGAGTGGGAAGTCTGTAAGTTGTAACAGCAGTCTGTATGAAGAATAAGCAGGTTGATGACAATCTAGAAATTGTGAGAAGCTGGAATCACAGAGTCTTTTGGAATAAGTGTATGGTTTGTATTAGAATAGCCCAATGGAAAAGGCCTAATGAGATTTAATTGGCTAAAGTTAATTTTACATTTAGTATCATGAGTTAGCACATGCTTGTTTTGGATGCTCTTCTTTTTTCTTTTTAAAGTGAAGCAAGTAAGGATGATAAAATCCATGATAAATGGGTTTTGTATTAAATACAAGTCTGCCCGTTACATTTAAGTTACATGCGTAGCTTTTCCCAGGGAGAGGTGTTTTTATGTCTTTCAGCCAGTACTGTATGCTCAGGGGGACGTTCAAACTTCCATGGCAAGATGCTAGATCACTTTACCTTTCTCTAGAAATTCAACAAACAGGAAATTTTTAGTATCTCTTTTCTAACTGCTGTCTTCAAGGAGGTGTAAAATAAACTGCAGAACCACTAGTGTATCAGTTGTAAGTGTTCTTGAAATGAAGTCTGCAACTTCCCCCTGTAAAGAAACGAGAAGAACAGAACCAAAGCATGTGAATTGGTGGATTGCAATAGATACTACATTTCTGGTAGTTAAAGGGAGTGTTTCCATGATGTGGAAAGATCCTCTGGGAGGCAGTGTGCTTTGTAAGGTATTTGAAAACATAAACCTGTACAGGGTGTTCATAGTTCTGTTTCTATCCAGCACATACGTATCCTCCCCCTGAGAAAAGCTGTAATGTTCTAAGAAATCTTTGATCTTACCTTTCAGATCAAGATCTAAAGAAAAGACAGAAGGTGTGGAAGTTTCCAAAGAAAAGAAAAAAGACAAAGAAGACAAAGAAGAAGAGAAGGATAAAGATGCTACCACAAATACTGTGGCCACAGAGGTAGAAGCTTTTAACACCTATAAATTCAAACCAGGAATTAAGTTAGCCATAGATTACTGCATTAACAAAAGAAAACTTCTTAAAGCTGGACAAAGTCCCCAGTGAATGAAAGAGTATTCTCTTCTGCAACACAGACTCTTGTCACGGGGTATGCTTACAGTTCTTGGCATAAGAGACATTCTTCTCAGTTCAAGATTTCAAACTGCTTAGACCGTGAACCACAGACAAGTGTGGAGGATCTCTCATTTTTCACATATTAGGTGTCAGTAGAGGAGCTGAAAATGTTTTTGGCCTCTGGACCCAGGCAGGAATCAAAGAACAAAGGGAGAGGAAAACTCACTTTGCCTTGTTCCGTGACATGAAAAGATGTGCCTAGATGAAGAATTCCCAAACGAGCAGTTTTAGCTAACTCTTCTAAACCAGCACGTTGTTACTAACCCTCCTTTGTTAATAGCTGCTTCAGTCAGTGAGGGCTCCCCAGGCCCAAACCAATTGCAGACTTTTTTACTAGAAGGACTTTTGCAAGTAGAGGGTAACGTGATAATTCTTTAGTCCTTTATGAATCAATGGCTAAAATGAGTTGAAACTCAGTGGTGTGAGATACAATATTTTTTCCTAGTAAATAAAGGAAAGTTTAATTCACTGTTATCTTAAAAATTATATACTGGCTACTATCATGAAAAATAAAATAGTTAACTGCATTTCTTACTTGAAAGTGTTCTAGTTGATGTTAGTATTTTTCATTTACTTCTGTTGTGGTAAGTTTGTGGATGTCCAGTCTTCTATGGCATGCTTACACAACAGTTACATTTGTTTGAAGAAGCATAGGCTAAAGCCAGTGGCCATTAATTTTCACTATTTGCTTGGTTTTTATCATAGAATTTTGATCAGAACAAACTAGAAGAAGAAATGAGAAAACGGAAAGAAAGAGTGGAGAAGTGGAGGGAAGAGCAACGCAAGAAAGCTATGGAAAACATAGGAGAACTGAAAAAAGAAATTGAAGAGATGAAACAGGGGAAAAAATGGAGTTTAGAAGATGATGACGGTATTTAACTTTTTATATATAACAGTTAAAATACCTTTGTTCCTAATAGTATTTTTATTACATTATCTTTAAAGCATTTAATCACTTTTCAGAATGTGAACTATGAAATAACAAAGCCTAAATCTGGTCATGGTTCCAAATGGTTTAAGATACAATTGAGATTAACAAAGTGGAGAGATTTGTTTGAGGAAAAATGACACAGTAATAAAACCGTACTGTAATTATTTGAGTAGGCTAATGATTTAACACATGCATTTCTCTCTTT